GCGGGTCTGTAGCATCCACCGAGGGGGTCTGTGCCGTAGAGCAGGGGGTCTCCAACCTTGGCGACTTTAAGCCTGGCGGACTTCAACTCCCAGAATCCCCCAGCCAGCAAAGCTGAGGATGAGGGGGGCCCAAAGAGGAGGAGAAGAGCGAAGACGGGACTTCCTGCCATCAGGTTCAGGGTCCTAAGATGGAGCCTGCTCCCTCGGTTCGGAGACCCTCCCTCTATTCATGCCCCCAGGTGTTTATAGAATAATTGAAGCGACCTTTGGGGGGGGTCTTCTAGTCCACCCCGCTACTCAAGTGGCTGCCCAGTCTCTTCTTCAAAGCCTCCAGCGGTGGACCATTCACAACTTCTGGTGGCAAGGAGTTCCGCTGGTTAATTGTTCCCAAGCTTAGGAAATTTCTCCTTATTTCCAGGTTTCTTCCCTCCTGGATTCATTTCCATCCGTTGCTTCTTGTCCTGACCTCTGGTGCTTTGGAAAATAGCTTGGACGCCCACCCACCCCCCGGCCTTCTTTGGGGCAGCCCCTCAAATACTGGAACGCCGCTATCCCGTCGCCCCTGATCCTTCTTTTCATTAAACTAGACGTACCCAATTCAGCAACCGTTCTTCCTACGTTTTAGTCTCCGGTCCCTTAAACCCCCCGTTGGAATAGCTTCTATCAGCTGCTACTCTATTGTTTTTTTCTGTTATTTATAATTCTTTTTTTGCTGCCCAATTTATTTTTTTTAAATAGTTACAATAATTTCATCTTTCATTTGACTGGGTGCATATATCTTGTGCTAACACTCATAATTAATATTTTTAACCAATATAACAGTACTGACATTTTCTTTGTAAATCATAAATCATTTCCTCTTCTATATTTGTTATCTTTATAAGCAAGCACCTTAACTAATTTTTTTTTTATATATTCATCTACTCAATTGCAACTTGTGTTCTTTTCTAACCATTGATGAAATAAATCCCATATCGAATAATATTCAGTTTCTTCTTTTTCCTTAATTTCCAGCATTAATCAATTCATCTCTGCGCATTCAAATATTTTCTGAATCATTTTTTTTCCCCTCTGCTGGTATTTTATCATTTTTCCAAGTCTGCGCAAATGCAATCCTAGCTGCCGATTATTTATAATTCTTTATTGCCGGTTTAATAGGCCTCTGCGTACTCTTTCTCTCAGCAGCCTGATCATGGCCTTCATTTTCAAGTTTGGACATTTTATTTATTCATTTCTTAAGTTTGTCTGTCCTGCCCTCTCGCTTTTGAGCGGCCCCCGGAGAAGAGTTTATCTTGTACAAAACAGGGCTTTGTTTTCAGGCCTCCCGTGAAGCTTTGCGGTGATGGAAAGCAGGCAGGAAGGATTGCAAGGGGGCGGGGGGCCCATCTCACGGTCTGCTTTCTCTCCCCCCCCCCCTGCCCCCCCCCAGGTGGAGAGCTCTACACGGGCACCATGAATAACTTCCAGGGCAACGAACCGGTCATCTCTCGGACCCTGGGCAGCCGGACTGTTCTGAAGACGGACGGCTTCCTCTCCTGGCTGCATGGTGAGAGCAGACACAGGGGTGGGGGGTGGGGGTGGGGAGGGGGGGAGACTAGCAGGCAGAGGGGGAAGGGTCTTAGCCCCTCCCTCCCACGGCCGCCTCCATCGTTTGGGGACTGGCTGTCGTCTTGGCAACCAAGACCTGGTGGGTACCAGGAGAAACGCATCTCCTAAGCAACGGATGCTTCTGTTGGGGGCCCAAGCCCCCCCCCCGCCCCCGTGAGTGTGTGTGTGTGGGGGTGTGTGTGTGTCTCTCTCTGTGTGTATAGATTCTCAACCATCCAGGTCATGGTTGTCCCAAAGGTGTTTTTTTTCCAAAAGGCACCTGGACTTTCTCTGTTTTCTTTTTCCTTGCAACTATTTCGCTTCTTTTATCCGAGAAGCTGCTTCAGTTTTGAAGAACTGAAAACAGAAAAAAAAAAACTCTAGAGAAAGCAAGGAAGTCCAGTTGCCTTTTGGAAAAAGCCACCTTTGCTATGTGTCCTGCCCCTGCTGGAGTCTGACTTGGAGGGGGAGGCTGAGCAGCTGACCGGGAGCGGGAGGGGGGCTCCAGTGGCTGTGGAGGAAACGGGGGAAGGGCACAGTAGGGCTGGGCATTCAGAGGAAGACCCAGGTCCAAACCCTCTTCATCCTAGGGCACGCAGGAAGGAATGGATAAGGGAGCAACACGGCTTATGGGAGAGGAAAGGGCCCTGATTCCCTTCATTAGCTGCAGCTGGGAAAACAGGATTTAAACAGGGCATTTGCGCACAGCACCTGGCTGGAAGCAAAGCGTGTGTTATTGTTGTTGGTCAAGTCTTATCTGAGTTCTGGCGTCCTCCCAACTGTGTGTGATTTGTTATCTTTTGAAGTCTGCAATTCCTCGTCCTGCCCTGTCTCGTTGATTGCTGCAGCTTGTGGTTTGTGTTGGTTTTTATTTATAATTTATATGAACTTTATATGGATGAATTTCTTCCCTTTAAAGACTTGTTTTTGGGAGAGTTTTTTTTTCCTCCAGCCGATGATAACTGGACGCTGGGGGCCAAGTTGGAGGAATTAAAGGGACTTTGCCTACTTTTGTGACTCTGTTGCTTTTGTGCCACGCCCCTTTGGGTCTTCACACTGTGAGTGTGTGTGTGTGTGTGTGTGAGAGAGAGAGAGAGAGAGAGAGAGTGTCAGTCGCTCTGTGTCTGTGTGAGAAGGGACGGAAGAAAAGCTGACCCTTGGTGTTTGCACAGACGATGCTGTGTTCGTGGCCTCGTTCAACGTCCCGGGGCCTCCGGACGAGGAAAAGATCTACTTCTTCTTTGAAGAGACAGCGAAGGAATTTGACTTCTTTGAGAAACTGACCGTGTCCCGTGTCGCCCGGGTGTGCAAGGTGAGAGGCTTCCCCCGTCCTCCGTTCGAGCCAAGGCTCAGCCGGGCGCCTGGGCCGAGAAGGCTGAGGCTGGAGACCAGAACCTTCGTTAGGGCAAGCACCGAGTCCTGCCGTTTTCAAGGCTGGGAAACAGCGTCGCCCTGCGGACTCAGGTCCGGGCTTAACCGTCGTATCTCCTGCTCAAACCAGTCAAGTCTACTGGTGGCCTCCAGGAGGGGCTAGGAGAAGTCCACAGCCCCCCCAAACAGGCCACCACCCAATTGCTGCCGGGAAGCGCGGGCCCAGCCGAGGCTGCCTCCTGAGAGGGTCTTTCTCCGCAGAACGACGTTGGGGGGGACAAGGTCCTCCAGAAGAAGTGGACCACCTTCCTGAAGGCCCAGCTCTCTTGCAGCCAGGCGGGGCTCTTCCCCCACACCGTCCTCCAGCACGTCTTCGCTCTCCCGCAGCCGGGGGGCGGCTCCCTCTTTTACGGGGTCTTCGCTTCTCAGTGGTAAGAGGCGGGGCGGTTTGCACGGGGGTGGGGTGGGGACGTGAGGCGGCCCCCCCGGCAGCCACGGGGGAGTCTGCAGCCTGCCTCGTAAGGCAGGGGGTCAGTCTCCAACCGGGGCAGCTGGACGACTTGCCGGCTGAGGAACCCCCAGGGGTTGAGGCCTACAAGTCATCCAGCTGCCAAGCTTTGGGGAATCCCGCAATAAAGACCCTGAGCACGTGCAGAGGGCTTTTGGGATGGCTGAGGTGCAGCTGGCCTGTCCATACGCCCCCCCCCCTCCCCCCGCAGGCAGACCGGGAGCTCCGGCAGCTCAGCCGTCTGCGCCTTCAGCCTGGACGCCATCGAGAAGGCCTTTGCCGGCAAGTACAAGGAGCTGAACAAGGACTGCTCCCGATGGATGACCTACAGTGGCCCCGCCATGGACCCCCGGCCTGGCAGCGTGAGTGTCCCCCCTCTGCAGGGGAGGGTGGGGTGCCCTGGGTCTCGCCTCCTGACCGTTCTCCCCCCCTTCCCTCCAGTGTTCGGTGGGCCCCTCGTCCGACAAAGCCCTGACCTTCATGAAGGACCATTTCTTGATGGATGAGAAGGTGGCCCCCGTCCACAACCAGCCCCTCCTGGTGAAGGAGGACGTGAAGTACACCCGCATCGCGGTGCACCAAGCGCAGGCGGCCTGCGGGACCGCCTGCACCGTCCTGTTCCTGGGCACAGGTAGGGCGGGCTCCCTCCACCCGGAACGGCGGAGTTGGAGGGGACCAGGGGTGTCCGGCTGGATTTCTTGGAGGGCCGGATCCGCACTGCAGTTCCCCATGGGTCGAGGGGAGGGGGAGGAGGCGGGACAGGCGCCCCCTCGCCCTCCCTCTCTCTTGGCCGGCAGGGCGCTGCAGGAGGACATCCAGGCCGAAAATGGGGCCGGTCCTTTGCTCTTTCCAGGCCAGACCTACTAAACCCGTTGCAGGCCGGCTGTGGCCGGTTGGCCTTGATTTTGGGCCCCTCTGCCCTAGACCATTCCGGTCCAGCCTCTTCTTAGAAACCTCCAGTGTTGAGGGGGGCACCCACAACTTCTGGTGGCAAGCAGTCCCACTGGCTAATTGTTCCCACCATTAAGGAAGTTTCTCCTTCGTTTCAGGTGGCTTCTCTCCCTTGCTTAGTTTCCGTCCGTTGCTTCTTGTCCTCCCTCCGGGGGCTTTGCAGAAGACCCCTCCCCTCCCTCCTCCTTTGTGGGAGCCCCTCAGATATTGGGAGGCTGCTGTCACGTCCTACCCTGGTCCAAGGCTGAAGCCTGGTTTGAGTCCTGCCCCTTTGGGGAGGTGGGGGGCGGAGAGCTGAAAATTCAAAATAAGAAATTGTAAACAAAATTGTAAGCGCAGGAAAAAGGAAGCTAAAGTAAGAAAGAGATATCGCGGGCAGGGGGGGGGGGGGGGGCATTCGTAAAATGGGCCAAAACTCACCTAACAACTGCCTTGTTTATCAACAGAAATGTTGGGCTCAGTTGTGCTCGTAAGTCGAGGACTCACTTTTGTTTGGCAAACTGTTGTGGGAAAAGACTATTTACTGAACTCTCCTTGGCTCGGCGTTCAGCCCTGCCTTGTTTTTTGGAAGTTCATCCCTCCCCCCCACCCCGGGGTGCTGCCTTGTTTTTCCATATCTGACCCAAATCATCGGGTTGGGGGGGGG